GAAGAATAGAAACCATATGATCATCTCAATAGATGCAGTCAAAGCTTTTGACAAAATTCAACACCCATTTATGATTTAAAACTCTCCAGAACATGGACACAGAGGGAACCAACCTCAACATAATAAAGGCCATATAAGACAACCTCAACATAATAAAGGCCATATAAGACATGGACACAGAGGGAACCAACCTCAACATAAAAAAGGCCATATATAAGCAAGCATCATTCTCAATGGTGAAAAACTGAAAGCATTTCCGCTAAGCTCAGGAACAAAACAAGGGTGTCCACTCTTGCCACTTGTATTCAGCATAGTTTAGGAAGTCCTAGCCACGGCAATCAGAGAAGAAAAAAATAAAAGAAATCCAAATTGGAAAAGTAGAAGTAAAATTGTCACTGTTTGCAGGTGACATGATACTATACATAGATAATCCTAAAAATGCCACCAGAAAACTACTAGAGCTAATCAATGAATTTGGTAAAGTTGCAGGATACAAAATTAATGCACAGAAATCTTTTACATCCCTATACACTAACAATGAAAGATCAGAAAGAGAAATTAAGGAAACAATTCCATTCACCATTGTAAGAAAAATAATAAAATACCTAGGAATAAACTTACCTAAGGAGGAAAAGACCTGTACTCAGAAAACTATAAGACACTGATGAAAGAAATCAAAGATGACACAAACAGATTGAGAGATATACCATGTTCTTGGATTGGAAGAATCAATATTGTGAAAATGACTATAGTACCCAAAGCAATCTACAGATTAGTGTAATCCCTATCAAATTACCAATGGCATTTTTTACAGAACTAGAGCAAAAAATCTTAAAATTTGTATGGAAACATAAAAGACTCCAAATAGCCACAGCAATCTTGAGGGAAAAAAACGGAGCTGGAGGAATCAGACTCTCTGACTTCAGACTATACTACAAAGCTACAGCAATCAATATAATATGGTACTGGCACAAAAACAGAAATAATTGATCAGTGGAACAGGATAGAAAGCCTAGAGATAAACCCACACACCTTTGGTCAACTAATATATGACAGAGGAGGCAAGGATATGCAATGGAGAAAAGACCGTCTCTTCAGTAAGGGGTGCTGGGAAAACTGGACAGCTACATGTATAAGAATGAAATTAGAACACTCCCTGACACCATACACAAAAATAAAATGGATTAAAGACCTAAATGTAAGCCTGGACACTATAAAATCTTCAAGGAAAACATAGGAAGAACACTCTGACATAAATCACAGCAAGATCTTTTTTGACCCACCTCCTAGAGTAATGGAAATAAAAATAAACAAATGGGATCTAATGAAACTTAAAAGCTTTTGCACAACAAAGGAAACTATAAACAAGACGAAAGTACAACCCTCAGAATGGGAGAAAACATTTGCAAACAAATCACCAGACAAAGGATAAATCTCCAAAATACATAAACAGCTTATGCAGCTCAATATTAAAAAAAAAAAAACCCAATCAAAAAATGGGCAGAAGACCTAAATAGACACTTCTCCAAAGACATACAGATGGCTAAAAGGCACATGAAAAGATGCTCAACATCACTAATTATTAGAGAAATGCAAATCAAAACTACAATGAGGTATCAACTGTTACCGGTTAGAATGGGCATCATCAGAAAATCTACAAACAGTAAATGCTGCAGAGGGTGTGGGGAAAAGGGAACCCTCTTGTACTGTTGGTGGGAATGTAAATTGATGCAGCCACTATGGAGAACAGTATGGAGGTTCCTTAAACTAAAAATAGAACTACCATATGTCCCAGCAATCCTATTACTGGGCATATACCCAGAGAAAAACATAACTCAAAAATACACATGCACCCCAGTTTTCATTGCAGCACTGTTTACAGTAGCCAGGTCATGGAAGCAACCTAAATGCCCATAGACAGACAAATGTATAGGGAAATCATGGTACATATATGCAATGGAATATTACTCAGCCATAAAAAGGAATGAAATTGTGTCATTTCTAGAGATGTGGATGGACCTGTATACATGCAGAGTGAAGTATGTCAAAGAGAAAAACAAGTATTGTACATTAACTCATATGTGGAATCTAGAAAAATGGTACAGATGAACTGGTTTGCAACACAGCGGTGGAGACACGGATGTAGAGAATAAATGTATGGACACCAGGGGGCGAAAGCAGGGTGTTGGGTGGTTGTGGGATGAATTGGGAGATTGGGACTGACATGTATACACTAATATGTACAAAATAGATAGCTAATAATAACCAGCTGTATAAAAAAAGAAAATTAAATTAAAAAAAAACTGCCTGAAGGAAACTTTGCAGAATGGCTATAACATTTCACATTCTTACCAGTAGTTGTATTACAGATGTGGATTCTCTGCATCCTCACCAGTATTTGCTGTTTTCACTTTTTAATTTTTGCTGTTCAAATAGGTGTGTACATATACCTCGTTGCGGTTATAATTTGCATTTTCCTAATGACTAATGTGTTTCACGTGTTTATTTGGCATCCATATACCCTCTTTGCTTGAAGTGTCTATGCTCTTTGCCCATTTTTCTAGATTTCTGTATTGTTGAGCTTTGAAGCTTCTCTGTATGTAAGTCCTTTGTCAGATATGTGGTTTGCATCTATCATTCCAAAACTTGGTGTTTCATCTATGAAGTTAGAATTGTCTTTTAAAATATTCTTTGTAATAGAGTGGAGATTTGACTATTATTTGGAGGGGCTAGATGTATTAAAATCAATGTCAATTAAGACTCAAGTTGCAGTAAAAATTTATGTGGGTTAGGAACTGAAGTAGTGTGTATGTGTATGTTTCTTTCATGAATGATCACCAAATGGAGAATATGTATGTTTTTAGTGGCTTACCTGAATTATGTTTGATGCAAAGAGGCTGATTAGGCACCTACCCTGCAACTTCAGGCATTTTACTTAGCTCTTCTGAGCATGTTTTTTCAACCCATGAAATGAGGAGAAATATATTTTAATTACATTAATACTGTGAAATCGCTAACATAACTCTAAAAAGATAAGGTATATTGTAAAAGCTCTCCTCCATTTTTAAAAAATTCACTTCTCCTTATTGTCTAGGGGACATTTGTTCCATTGTTTCCTGTGATTTCAGATTTTGGCTTGTAGACCTTCTTCACAGTCAAGAGTATCTTAAACCAGAATGAGGATATCATTTCATGTTCCTAAAATGGTTTTTTGCCCACACACAACTCTGATTTAAGGGAAAAATTTTAAATAGAATAAAATTCAAATAATTAATGTAAAGATTCTCAAGCAAGGTGCCTCGTACAGAGAAAAAGCTGCTAGAAGGTCTCTAAGGGTGACTGAGGAAACCACTTTTCTCCTAAGAAAGAAGCTTCTTAAGGGACCAAGACATCAGTAGAGTACTCTGTTCTTGAGTTTCCAATTTGAGTGCCTGGAGCCGGAAGCCCTTTGGGGTTTAAGAAGGGAGGGACAGATTTGCTTGTTATCTGTTTGTCAAAGCATTGCTCAACTGCTGTCCTGTTAGAAACAGCATTCCAAGGGTTGGCATCTGTCAATATATGAAATTAATAAATATGAATATAAAATATGTCACAGAGGTTGATCTTCCTTTAAGTTATTGAAATGTGTACTTTTTAAAAAAACAGTTGAGGGCTTCCCTGGTGGCGCAGTGGTTGAGAGTCCGCCTGCCAATGCAGGGGACATGGGTTCATGCTCTGGTCCGGGAAGATCCCACATGCTGCGGAGCGGCTGGGCCCATGAGCCATGGCCGCTGACCCTGCGCGTCCGGAGCCTGTGCTCCGCAATGGGAGAGGCCACAACAGTGAGAGGCCCGCGTACCGCAAAAAAAAAATAAAATAAAAACTAAATAGTTGACTAAATAGCAGTTAACCAAGTATATACAGTTATAGCTATATATAATAGTTATATATAATCAAGTATACCTTGACTGGGTTTAAATTCTGACTCTGTGACTTACACACTGTTTGGTTTTGGTCAAGCTACTTAACCTTTCTGTGTCTTCTAATCTGAAAGCAGTGTTATGATCATATTTATACCATAGGGTTATTCTTAGGATTAAATGGGTTCATAAATGCAGAGCACTTGTAACAGTTACTGGCTAAGCTATTATTACCTGATTAGTAAAGTAATTATATAGGAAATTGTTGATGAGAAAATTAGATCTTTTAGCCAAAGGTGTTTATCTGAGTATATTGCCCTCAAGGAGAATTTTATAGAACTTCTTTTTTTTGTTAGTATATGTATTTTTCATTCCAGTTATCATTGCCAACTTTATTTTGGACATTATGCTAAAATGCTTGGAACTTTTAAATATCCTCAATTTGGGGACACTGACAGTTAACCAAATTTTGTTTAGTGTGATTTGATTATGAAAAAGAAGTACAGGCAGTTCTGTATGTTTACAGAAGAGACATTTTACCTAGTCTGTAATGAGTGTTTATGACTGATGAGTAGAACAAGAAAGCGAAAGCTTTCTGGAAGGGCTGATCCTGTGGGATGGATGTGGGGAGAAACATTGTATGTAAAGGAAGCATATAGATTGTTTTTTGTTTTTGTTTTTGTTTTTAAAGGCAAGGAAGGGAAGCTGAATAGTAGATTGAAAAGAAAGGTAGGAGTAATTGTGTGTGAGAACCATCTAAATTGTGGAATGGAGTGTCAATTAAACCTGTACTTAGACAAAGAGGAGCTGTTGAGATTTTTTTTTTTCTGTTTTTATTGAGAAACAATTTACATACATCACTGTATAATTTTAAGATATTTAGCAGGATGGTTTTATTTACATATATTATGAAATGATTCCTACAATTAGGTTCAACTGAGAATTTTTAAAGTTTGAGAAATTTGATCATTTTTCATGTTTTAAAACTTGTTTATTTTGATTCTATAATAGTACATTCTTGAATAACCTCTATAAGTCGATAGTCTTTATATGCATGCTAAAAATTTTTTTTCTTTTTTTTAAGGATTTCAGTTTGTTGAAATGAGCAGTCGTAAATCAAAGAATAACAACTTAATACAAGCAGAATACCTTTTACAGGTTGGTATATATTTTCATTACTCTGAAGGTCTGTTACCATTCAAAGGTGATAAGAGAATTAGTCATCTTAACTTGAATTCTTCCCTTAGCATGTATGAAGAACCACTCTTTTCATTCTCAAGGGGCGAGTATCTTTGCTACTTCCTAATTTCAACCTCTAAGTCTTCGGATAGATGGAATCCTAACTTTACTCATGTCTTCCTAAATGTGCTCTAGTTCAGTTTAGTTTAATATTATCTTTAGAGTTTTGTACTTCTGTTGGTAAATTTATTCCTAAGTATTTTATTCCTTTTGGTGATATTGTAAATGGAATTGTTTTCTTAATTTTATGTTTTATTTATTGCAAGTGTATCTAAATGAAATTGATTTTTCTGTATTAATCTTGTATTCTGTAACCTTCCTGAACTCATTTATTCTAATATTTTTTTAGTTTATTCCTTAGGATTTTCTTTATATAAGATCGTGTCATCTGCAATAGAGATAGTTTTAATTCTTTCTTCTCAGTCTAGATGAATCTCATTTCTTTTTCTTGTCTAATTGCCCTGACTAGAACCTTCAGTATAACACTGAATAAACTAGCAAGAGCAGACAATCCTATTTTGTTTTTGATATTGGGGAAATGTGTTCAGTCTTTCACCATTGAGTATGATGTTAGCTGTAGGTTTTTGTGTGTGTTCTTTCTCAGGTTGCAGAAGTCCCTTTATATTACTAGTATGTTGAGTGTTTTTATCATGAACATTTAATGTTTCCTTAAGTGCATATATATCTCTCTTGAGGAGTCTAGTAGGGAACGTGCATGATGTTTCTACACTGGCATTTTTTTTTTTTCTTTTTTAAAGATTTTTTTCATGTGGACCATTTTTAAAGTCTTTATTGAGTTTATTACAATATTGCTTTTGTTTTATGTTTTGGTTTTTTGGCCATGAGATATATGGGATCTTAGCTCCCCAACCAGTGATCGAACCCACACCCCCTACATTGTAAGGTGAAGTCTTAACCACTGAACTGCCAGAGAAGTCCCTACACTGGCATTTCTATTTACCTGGCTTGACCAGAACTACATTTCTTTTAAACAAAAACTAAATGTTGGGCTTCCCTGGTGGCACAGTGGTTGAGAGTCCGCCTGCTGATGCAGGGGACACGGGTTCGTGCCCCGGTCCAGGAAGATCCCACATACCACGGAGTGGCTGGGCCCGTGAGCCATGGCCATTGAGCCTGCGTGTCCGGAGCCCGTGCTCTGCAACGGGAGAGGCCAAAACAGTGAGAGGCCCGCATACCCCCCAAAAAAAAAAACTAAATGTTATTGGCATTCCTTTGTGAGACCTTACCTTCCTTCTTTTAGAAGGAAAATGTTTAATTCTGTTTTTTAATTTAACTTTTACATATTTTTGTAAAGTGAACAAACCTTCCATGTGCAGCTTAATTAATTTCTATACATGTATACACCTGTTTAATTTTCATCTCAGATCACTTTAGGATTTTTGAACCTCTGACTATTCCCTACAACTTCACTTTATCTCTCACTTTATTTTATACGTAGTCATCTCTCTAATAGACTTTAGTGAAGTTTAAAAAAAGAAAAAGACTGAGGGTTGTCTTTTGACTTCTAATGATCTTATCTAGGGGGTGGAATACACACTATGATTCGTTGAATCTGTATATGCCCCTTTAACTTTTTACAGATATCAGCTATTACCTATATAATATCTATATTGTGTTATAGATAACTGCCTCTTTTAATTTTCAAAACAGGCCTGCCAGAAAAGTGTTATTGTCTCTTTGGCACCAATCTTCCTATTCTTTCCACTTCCTCTATAACTATAAGTATGGATTATTTTATCCCCAGTGAATAATTTGCTTTGCTTATCCTCTGATACGTGTAAAGAGAACTCAGATCTATTTCTTTGGTATGTGAAGGATCAGTCCCATGCTGTCAGTCTGGGAGAAGCAAATAATCCTGGAGGCTTCTTGTTTCTGCTGATGGGGCTAAATCTGAAACAGCATCCTAAGGTTTTTGTCACTGAGGACCTTTGTATTAGCAGCAAAGCAGAAAAGGAATGATTTTAATGATCCATCTTTTTAAAGGTTGTGATAGATTGGCTGGTTTTTTTTTTTTTTTTTTTTTTTTTTTTACAACTGAATCTAAGCCCTTCGTTCCAAGGCAAACTCAAAATTTAGGTCTTTAGAAGAACTTTTTCTTAATTAATTCCAATGATTTCTTATTTTATGTCCTAGGTGAATATAATTTCTTCCATATAATTGAGCAAATCTTTATATGCTGAGTTATTGCTATTTAGCAGGTTGTTTCTTGAATGTGTCATTTCTTTCCAAATACATTCATTTCTTTCCAAATACATTCATTTCTTTCCAATATATTTGCAGTGTTTTTTTAGGCATAGATCATGTTCTTTTAGTAGTATGGTGCTCTGCATCTAATAGGCCCTCAATAACTATATGGACTTTTAAATTTCTTTTATTTCCTCAGAATCCTGACTTCTGTGACAGGTAGAGATTGATAAGGCTTGAGCTAAACCAGTTTAGATGTGTTGGTCTCTAGAGACTGAGGTGTGGTTCATGAGCATTATTAAATTAGATTACATTATTAGATTCTCTCCTGTCTTTGTTTGTTGGCTGATATGTTACGCAAAGTGAGGTATTCGTTGATTCACATGGATTAAAACAGCCCTCAAATTGCTAATGTAGCTAAAGGAACTAATTCTTTCTCTTGTTGAAAGCTTCATAACTAAGTTCTCATCCTTTCTCTGGGACTTGAGATAGGTAAAAAGAATTGTTAATTTTACAACTTAGGAAAGTGCCAGATGTCATGATGATAAGTTATTTAGGGAGGGTTGAATTGATTCATTAATGCCTAATTCTGACTGCTATAAATGTATATTCTTGTTCTTTTTTGATTGCATATGCAGTATTTTCATTTATATTTATTCACTTTATTTTTATCAGGTACAAAGAATTTTACGTGAAAGATTTTGGCATCAGAGTCCACATAGTAACCTATTTGGAGTACAAATACAATATAAGTAAGTTTAGCTATCTGCTTGTCTGTTATGAAACTACTTACAGATGCCCTTTAGGTTTTGCAAAAATTGTCATACACAGATTTTATTAAACAAGGCTAACAGACATTTTATAGAGGTAAAAATTTTGCTTTGTATATAAAAAAATGACTGTTGTGAAGCAAGAGCAGATATCAATATTTCCATAGTGAAAAAAACCTTTTAACTTTCAATCTTCTATCATTTCTATAATCTGGTATTATGGAGAGAATTCTGAGCTTGCACCTAATACTCAGCAGCCAGCTGTGGAGTGAAAGGTCCTAAGAGTTGCCACTGTTGTCCCTTGTTCCATACCATCATAAAGACCAAGATACTTTAGTGTTACTTGGTTTCTTCTTGAGGTTTCCAGAGAATCAGTATTTGTGTTCTTCTCTGTAGGACTATTTAGAGCATAAGTCAAGTGCCCAGAAGAAGAGAAAAAAGGAATTGCTGTTTTTTGTTCAAATTCAGCTTTTAAAAAGTATTACCTAGCAAATTATTTCAGCTTTCCTTTTTAAATTTTGGCCTATTTATATCATTTCAGACACTTAATTGAGCTGCTAAAAAGAACTGCTATTCATGGAGAAAGTAATTCTGTTCTCATTATTGGACCCCGAGGATCAGGAAAGACCATGGTAAAAGCTGTTGATTCTGATGTTCCTTTGCTTTGTAGGCATGTGATGATTCTTAGGGACAACAATGGAAATGTTTTTCATTGTTTTCATCATTGTGTTACTAATATTTTGCTTTTTTTTTTTTTAAATTTAAATCATAGAAGACATGCAAAGCCTGTATAATGTTAGAGTGGTATATTTGAGTTGAACAATCTTTTTTACCTTTTTCTCCCTCACAGTAACAAATTTTCAAATAATGTTTGTTCCATCATGGTCTTTTATCCTTGAAGAATTTGTGATTGACAATGGACAAAACAAACTAACAGCTACTGAGCCTGTACCTTGTGTCTTTTATTTATGTTCTGTCATTTATTCTTTACATTAACCTTGCAAGGTAGGTTTGGTATTGTCTCTATTTGTAGATTAGGTAACTATCATACCATGCATTCTTTTTTTTCCTCTTATTGTTTAACCCTAACTCAGGCAGTTTTATTTTATATGTACACTCACATCTTCTAGAATTCTCTTCTACTTTCCCTCTTTACTATATTTGCTTAGTCACCTTCAAAAGATACTGTTGCTTTTTTTTTTTTTTTTTAAACATCTTTATTGGGGTATAATTGCTTTACAATGGTGTGTTAGTTTCTGCTTTATAACAGAGTGAGTCAGTTATACATATACATATGTTCCCATATCTCTTCCCTCTTTGTCTCCCTCCCTCCCACCCTCTCTATCCCACCCCTCCAGACAGCCACAAAGAACCGAGCCGGTTTCCCTGTGCCATGCGGCTGCTTCCCACTGGCTATCTACCTTACGTTTGTTAGTATATATATGTCCATGTCTCTCTCTCGCCCTAACACACCTCACCCTTCCCCCTCCCCATATCCTCAAGTCTGTTCTCCAGTAGGTCTCTGTCTTTATTCCTGTTTTACCCCTAGGTTCTTCATAACATTTTTTTTTCTTAAATTCCATATATATGTGTTAGCATACGGTATTTGTCCTTCTCTTTCTGACTTACTTCACTCTGTATGACAGACTCTAGATCTATCCACCTCATTACAAATAGCTCAATTTCGTTTCTTTTTATGGCTGAGTAATATTCCATTGTATATATGTGCCACATCTTCTTTATCCATTCATCCGACGGCGGGCACTTAGGTTGTTTCCATCTCCGGGCTATTGTAAATAGAGCTGCAATGAACATTTTGGTACATGACTCTTTCTGAATTCTGGTTTCCTCAGGGTATATACCTAGTAGTGGGATTGCTGGGTCATATGGTAGTTCTATTTGTAGTTTTTTAAGGAACCTCCATACTGTTCTCCATAGTGGCTGAACCAATTCACATTCCCACCAGCAGTGCAAGAGTGTTCCCTTTTCTCCACACCCTCTCCAGCATTTATTGTTTCTAGATTTTTTGATGATGGCCATTCTGACTGGTGTGAGATGATATCTCATTGTAGTTTTGATTTGCATTTCTCTAATGATTAATGATGTTGAGCATTCTTTCATGTGTTTGTTGGCAGTCTGTATATCTTCTTTGGAGAAATGTCTATTTAGGTCTTCTGCCCATTTTTGGATTGGGTTGTTTATTTTTTTGTTATTGAGCTGCATGAGCTGCCTGTAAATTTTAGAGATTAATCCTTTGTCAGTTGATTCATTTGCAAATATTTTCTCCCATTCTGAGGGCTGTCTTTTGGTCTTGTTTATGGTTTCCTTTGCTGTGCAAAAGCTTTGAAGTTTCATTAGGTCCCATTTGTTTATTTTTGTTTTTATCTCCATTACTCTAGGAGATGGGTCAAGAAGGATCTTGCTGTGATTTATGTCATAGAGTGTTCTGCCTATGTTTTCCTCTAAGAGTTTGATAGTTTCTGGCCTTACATTTAGGTCTTTAATCCATTTTGAGCTTATTTTTGTGTATGGTGTTAGGGAGTGATCTAATCTCATACTTTTACATGTACCTATCCAATTTTCCCAGCACCACTTATTGAAGAGGCTGTCCTTTCTCCACTGTATATTCCTGCCACCTTTATCAAAGATAAGGTGACCATATGTGCATGGGTTTATCTCTGGGCTTTCTATCCTATTCCATTGATCTATCTTTCTGTTTTTGTGCCAGTACCATACTGTCTTGATTACTGTAGCTTTGTAGTATAGTCTGAAGTCAGGCAGCCTGATTCCTCCAGCTCCATTTTTTGTTCTCAAGATTGCTTTGGCTATTCGGGGTCTTTTGTGTTTCCATACAAATTGTGAAATTTTTTGTTCTAGTTCTGTGAAAAATGCCAGTGGTAGTTTGATAGGGATTGCATTGAATCTATAGATTGCTTTGGGAAGTAGAGTCATTTTCACAATGTTGATTCTTCCAATCCAAGAACATGGTATATCTCTCCATCTGTTTGTATCATCTTTAATTTCTTTCATCAGTGTCTTATAATTTTCTGCATACAGGTCTTTTGTCTCCTTAGGTAGGTTTATTCCTAGATATTTTATTCTTTTTGTTGCAATGGTAAATGGGAGTGTTTTCTTGATTTCACTTTCAGATTTTTCATCATTAGTATATAGGAATGCCAGAGATTTCTGTGCATTAATTTTGTATCCTGCTACTTTACCAAATTCATTGATTAGCTCTAGTAGTTTTCTGGTAGCATCTTTAGGATTCTCTATGTATAGTATCATGTCATCTGCAAACAGTGACAGCTTTACTTCTTCTTTTCCGATTTGGATTCCTTTTATTTCCTTTTCTTCTCTGATTGCTGTGGCTAAAACTTCCAAAACTATGTTGAATAAGAGTGGTGAGAGTGGGCAACCTTGTCTTGTTCCTGACCTTAGTGGAAATGCTTTCAGTTTTTCGCCATTGAGGATGATGTTGGCTGTGGGCTTGTCATATACGGCCTTTATTATATTGAGGAAAGTTCCCTCTACACCTACTTTCTGCAGGGTTTTTATCATAAATGGGTGTTGAATTTTGTCAAAAGCTTTCTCTGCATCTATTGAGATGATCATATGGTTTTTCTCCTTCAATTTGTTAATATGGTTAATCACATTGATAGATTTGCGTATATTGAAGAATCCTTGCATTCCTGGAATAAACCCCACTTGATCATGGTGTATGATCCTTTTAATGTGCTGTTGGATTCTGTTTGCTAGTATTTTGTTGAGGATTTTTGCATCTATGTTCATCAGTGATATTGGCCTGTAGTTTTCTTTCTTTGTGACATCCTTGTCTGGTTTTGGTATCAAGGTGATGGTGGCCTCGTAGAATGAGTTTGGGAGTGTTCCTCCCTCTGCTATATTTTGGAAGAGTTTGAGAAGAATAGGTGTTAGCTCTTCTCTAAATGTTTGATAGAATTCGCCTGTGAAGCCATCTGGTCCTGGGCTTTTGTTTGTTGGAAGATTTTTAATCACAGTTTCAATTTCAGTGTTTGTGATTGGTCTGTTCATATTTTCTATTTCTTCCTGATTCAGTCTTGGCAGTTTGTGCATTTCTAAGAATTTGTCCATTTCTTCCAGATTGTCCATTTTATTGGCATAGAGTTGCTTGTAGTAATCCCTCATGATTTTTTGTATTTCTGCAGTGTCAGTTGTTACTTCTCCTTTTTCATTTCTGATTCTATTGATTTGAGTCTTCTCCCTTATTTTCTTGATGAGTCTGGCTAATGGTTTATCAATTTTGTTAATCTTCTCAAAGAACCAGCTTTTAGTTTTATTGATCTTTGCTATTGTTTCCTTCATTTCTTTTTCATTTATTTCTGATCTGATTTTTATGATTTCTTTCCTTCTGCTAACTCTGGGGTTTTTTTGTTCTTCTTTCTCTAATTGCTTGAGGTGCAAGGTTAGGTTGTTTATTCGAGATGTTTCCTGCTTCTTAAGGTGGGCTTGTATTGCTATAAACTTCCCTCTTAGAACTGCTTTTGCTGCATCCCATAGGTTTTGGGTCGTTGTATCTCCATTGTCATTTGTTTCTAGGTATTTTTTAATTTCCTCTTTGATTTCTTCAGTGATCACTTCGTTACTAAGTAGTGTATTGTTTAGCCTCCATGTGTTTGTATTTTTTACTGCTCTTTTCCTATAATTGATATCTAATCTCATGGCGTTGTGGTCGGAAAAGATACTTGATATAATTTCAATTTTCTTAAATTTACCAAGGCTTGATTTGTGACCCAAGATATGATCTATCCTGGAGAATGTTCCATGAGCACTTGAGAAAAATGTGTATTCTGTTGTTTTTGGATGGAGTGTCCTATAAATATCAATTAAGTCCATCCTGTTTAATGTATCATTTAAAGCTTGTGTTTCCTTATTTATTTTCATTTTGGATGATCTGTCCATTGGTGAAAGTGGGGTGTTGAAGTCCCCTACTATGAATGTGTTACTGTCGATTTCCCCTTTTATGGCTGCTAGTTTTTGCCTTATGTATTGAGGTGCTCCTATGTTGGGTGCATAAATATTTACAATTGTTATATCTTCTTCTTGGATCGATCCCTTAATCATTATGTAGTGTCCTTCTTTGTCTCTTCTGATAGTCCTTATTTTAAAGTCTATTTTGTCTGATATGAGAATTGCTACTCCAGCTTTCTTTTGGTTTCCATTTGCATGGAATATCTTTTTCCATCCCCTTACTTTCAGTCTGTATGTGTCTCTAGGTCTGAAGTGGGTCTCTTGTAGACAGCATATATATGGGTCTTGTTTTTGTATCCATTCAGCCAATCTGTGTCTTTTGGTGGGAGCATTTAGTCCATTTACATTTAAGGTAATTATCGATATGTATGTTCCTATTCCCATTTTCTAAATTGTTTTGGGTTCGTTATTATAGGACTTTTCCTTCTCTTGTGTTTTTGTCTAGAGAAGTTCCTTTAGCATTTGTTGTAAAGCTGGTTTGGTGGTGCTGAACTCTCTCAGCTTTTGCTTGTCTGTAAAGGTTTTAATTTCTCCATCAAATCTGAATGAGATCCTTGCTGGGTAGAGTAATCTTGGTTGCAGGTTTTTCTCCTTCATCACTTTCAGTATGTCCTGCCACTCCCTT